GTACTCTATCCAACATAAAAAGCCCTTACAATTTAAACTTTTCTTGGCTCATTTTCTTCTCTGTAACAACCATTGTAACCTTGCTACCTGTCTAATTTAGAACATTTTCCATCTCAAACATAAACTCAAAAAATTTGTCACTAAGTATGAGGGTATGTTTTGATATAAGACAGTTGTGTCTTTAACAAAATTAACTAACTTTTGCCTGATTTTTTTTTTCTTGTTGTTATAGTGTTTGTCGTTAGGAGAAAATGGGATGAAGATGATTTTGCAAAGAGAATTGGAGAGAAAGCTCTTAGACAGCTCAAAAGCTCTTACTCTCTGTTTTGGTTTGGATGTATTTCGATGTAAAATTCTAGAACATGTTCCGAATATAGAAAAACTTGAGGTGCGTTATTGTTCCTTCAAGAAGATGTTCTGTTGTGAAAGTCCTACTAATGTGCTACAGCAGCTGAAAGTATTACGGTTGGAGTCCCTTAAAGAGCTGGTTTCCATTGGGTTAGAGAACTCTTGGACTGAATCCTTTGTCGGAAACATAGAAACCTTTGAAGTCATTAATTGTAGGAGTTTAAAAAACTTGGTAGCATGCACAGTGTCTTTCTCCAATCTGACGTGTTTGAAAGTAAAGGGTTGTTATAGATTATCGTATTTGTTGACATCCTCAACAGCGAAGCGTTTGGATAAACTCAAAAGAATGGAGATAACCGGTTGTGATTCAATTGAAGAGATAGTGTGTAAGGAAGATGGAGAGGAATCAGATGATGAGGATGAGATAATATTTCCGCAGCTCACTTGTTTGAATCTTCATAGCTTAAGGAAGCTCAAAAGGTTCTACAAAGGGAGTTTAGGTTTCCCATCCTTGGAGGAACTGTCAGTAGAAGATTGCGATGAGATGATAACTTTATGTGTGGGTACTATAGTGGGAGGCAAGATGTGTCAAGTTAAAGTTGGTGAGTTCTCAGATGCTATTCAATTAGAAACCGAGCTCAACTCTACTATGAGGAAG